AATACAGCGAATAAGACAAAGTTTTCAAAGAAACCTCCCGCTAACACTGTTATACATGCATTTTGTTGTGTTGGTATGTTTTCTTAATCAACCCTTAAAATGATTCTAAATTATTGAGATCCTTTAAAAATATAATCACTTGTTTTTCTATTACACAAAAGAATTATTATTCCATCATAAAATATATTTCCATAGCTTTCCAGTAACATCTATCACAATGTTATTTTCTTTAAGATATATTCACATATAATTTCCGGTTTCCTTTTCAGCCTTAAGTATTTACAAGCATTAATTGGTACAAAAATCAACTTTATTGTGGTGTAATGTACACACAATAAAATGCTCCCATTTTATTTATTTTTGGCAATTTTGTTTATTTTATATACTCCCATTTTATTTAATTTTGTATTCAAGGTCTCACAGCTTGCAGGATCTCAGTTCCCCCACCAGGGACTGAAGCCACACTCTGGCAGTGAAAGTGTGGCGCCCTAACCACTGGACCACCAGGGACTTCTCAATGCTCTCATTCTGTTAGTACATGTCCACGAGTTCTGACAAACGGATGTGCCTACCTAACAGCTGTGATTGGGTCTCTACAAGGAGACGGCTCTATCATCCCGCACAGCTAACTCACACGCACACCTACATGGACCTGAGCCCGTGAACACAGCTCCACTGGCAGATGGTCACACAGTGTATCCTTAAGAACTTTCAGTGCCCACATTCCATTTCAACAACTACAATCCTATGTGTGACAGTGTTCTTCTCAAGCCTAGTATCTGCTCACATAGAGCAACACGTTAAAAGGCCACGGATTTTTTGTTTTAAACCTCTTGGCCATGTTGTGTGGCATGTGGGATCTTATTCCCTGACCAGGGATCAAACCTGTGCCCTCTGCAGTGGGAGCTCAGAGTCTGAACCACTGGGCCACCAGGGAAGTTCTTAAAGGCATAGGCTCTTGCATTTTAGATACCTGTACACAGTCACTCTCTCTCTCTCTCTCTCTCACTTTCTCTTACCCATCCTGTGACTTCTCCACCCGAAACTGTTCCAGTGGTTTCCCAAGGCTTCCAGAACCTTCTCCCACCTCACTTACTCCTCCCCATGGCCCTCCAGTTGCCTCTAGCAGCCCAAGTGTGTGGTTTGACCTGGGCAGAGGATTGTGGCGACTCCCTCTTGGATCTCCACTGAAATATTTGCTAAGTGCCCAGCCTCTGCCAGGCACTTAAACATGAGTGACACTCTGTACCTGGCCTCAATAAGGTCACATAATTCCATTAGTGCAGCCTAATTCACGAATTCAATGGTGTGTCACGCACATATTGAACCTGGAATGAATTAAAGTCTATATACATTGCAGTCAAGGCAGAGCAATTCCTTCCCCCTTAGGTCCAGAGCTCGACAAAGGCTCTTGTTTGCTTTTATTACTTTGGGTTTTCCCTTATTCCAATAACCAAGAAAAGAATTCTGGCAAGATGTGAACTATTGTTAATATTAATGCTTAATACTTCAGAGAAAATAAAAGTATTTGCTTCTTTCTTCTCACTGAAATTAAAAACAGCTTCTGAGTGAAGGGTGAGTTGATCTGTGTGGTTTTACCTATAGTGATAAATATATTACTTAAACAAAAACCAAACTGGCTTGTATTATTTCATGGTACCAGGCTATGTGACTGGTAAATGAGAGCATATGTTTTCTTAATCTTTTTTTCAAATTGCAGGCACTTCTCCGGGTAAAATTCTATTTACCCTTCAATGCCAAGTGCAGACAGGACCACTCTGGTGAAGACTTCCAGGTTCCTAGACAGAAGGGAGGCACACCTCTGTCATCTCTCCTCTGCTCTCAGTTCATGGCCATAGCTCCCTGCGGAGTCACTCACTGGCCTTCTTTAGGGTGATCAACCATCCCCATTTGTTGGGGCCTCTCCTAGGTTTAGCATGAAACATTCCCAATCCTAAAAAAAAAAACAAAAAACAAAAAAAACCCAGTCTTGAGAAAATCAGAACTGGTCACTCTGCATGATAGCGAGTGACGGTTTAATAAAATAGCCATCATTTCTGAGATGCCAAAGCCAAGTACTTCACAAACATTACAGTATTTTTCTACTTTAAGACAACATTAAAAGTAGCTACCATCATCTCATTTTACAGAAACAAAGAGGAGACTTAGAGAGGTAAGTACCTTGCCCAAGGTCACAGAGGCACCTGGATTTGAATCTAGGTTTGCCTTTGTCACACCCCACACAGTATTGGGTCTTAGGTGCTGTCGTTATCATTTTGTTGTCTGACGCTGTGACCCCACAGACTGTAGCCCACCAGGCTCCTCTGTCCGTTGAATTTCCCAGGCAAGAATACTGCAGTGGGTTGCCATTCCCTTCTCCAGGGGATCTTTTCCACCCAGGGACTGAACCTGTGTCTCCTTCACTGGCAGACAGGTTCTTTACTGCCAGGCTACCAGGGAAGCCCTTCACTGGGTCTTAGGACCTGGTGCTCATTCCACACAAGCAAGCTCTCAAAAAATATAGAATCAGTCTTCATCCTTCTACCACTCAGCATCAGTTAACATGCCAGTGATGGTCCTTGATAAAGCTATGAGGCATATACAAGAAGGCTCATGTGATGGAAGGAACATATAAAAATTCATGTACATATGCTGCTTTTAACTGGCTTTGATATAAGTGCCACTGGAGAACATACTGGAGATGTGAATGCCAACAAATTCAACATGCCTCCTCCCCTCACATAGATAACATGGAACCTTTTGTAACTTGACCACTTAAAACACTTGGCTGTGCCCAGAAGAGAAACTCCAACTGCTTGGCCAGACCCAACGGCTGTCTTCAGGTGGGACTTGCTGAACTAGCAGGACACAGCACAGAACACACTTCTCAGCAACACCAGGCTTCTTAGCAAGGATGCCGTCCCTAAAGGTCAGCTTGCTGGCACTGGAATGTGGGACACTTTACTGATTCCAATACCCTCCTGCCTGGCGGGGTTACGTTTTCGAATCTTAATACTCACTGAGTGCACTTCTCAAACTGTACTTTTTTTTTTTTTTTAAACATTGCTTCAGCTGTAACTCTCATGACCACAAAGTATTCCCCATCTTTGGATTTCAGACTTCTCTTTCTTCCTCTGGCACCAAATTCTCAGTCCAGGATCACAGGAGTTTAGGAAGCAATCTCTCCAGTCCACTCCCAAATTAAAAGAAGTAAAACTACGTGAACCATTCCTATTTTAAAATGGAAGTTCTAGAGTGAGTTCTAGAGAGAACTCAGGAGAGTTCCAAGAATGGGAGGCCTCAGGGCCCCACCCCCAGTAAGCCCACCTCGAACTGTCATTGTATGGAGATGCTGGCCAGCTATCTCTCAAGGTCCTCCCAGGGGCCAGCATCCTGGGGGAGGGGTGGTCCTCCTCCCTGGGGATGGGAGGGGTGCCGTCTGGCTCCCCCATGAGGGGGAGGGGGAAACTGGGCGCCACATCCACGGTTAATCAGTTTACCTAAGATGTGTATTTGGTCCGACACCCCTAAGGACCTTCGAAGGCCACCCAGGGTCAGAGAATAATTTAAAAACCTTCAAAGCCTGGATCCTTCTTGGAGCCAGCCCAAGACTGGAAACTTGGGAGGGACAAAGCTTTCCTCTTCAAAGTGAGAACAAATGCGAAAGGATTTAGCACTTAGTAGGCAGTCAATAAATGTTAACTTTATTTCTCAAGTCTGGGCTCCCCCTCCCCCTCTAAAGCCACTTCCATCCAAACCCGATTCTGTCCCTTCCTGAAATTCCACAGCACCAAAGGACTTTAGAATTCTGAATTAGTGGTGCCACTTCCTTTTCCTCTCAGCACGGAAGCCCTTCCTGGGACTTCATTTTGTTCATCTGTAAATCAGGCCAAGGGGTACACGCATGCTGTCCTCCTCAGGTCTGACATTCAAAGGAACTATAACATTGTGCCGGTTACAATTTTAACTTCTAACCCCAGCGCTAGGGACAGCAGGAGGCTGAACACATGGATCTGCGGCACAGCCTCCACAGGTGGGCATCATAAAGAAGCACCTGTGTGCCAGGACTTCCTATGCCCAGCTTCCTGTGTGCCAGGATACCCACCTGGGGGGCGCTTCTAATGCAGCCCTGGGCACCTCGGTCTGGCCGAGCAGCCCAACGTCACAATACGCTCTGGCCCTCATATACATACCTCCCAGAGACACACCCCGGGCACTGACGCCAATTCAACCCATCTCCATTGCTGTGCTTAGGCGCTCAGTCCAATCTGACTTTTTGCGACCCCATGGACTGTAGCCCGCCAGGCTCCTCTGTCCATGGGGATTCTCCAGGCAAGAATGCTGGAGTGGCTTGCCATGCCCTACTCCAGGGCATCTTCCCAACCCAGGGATCGAACCCAGGTCTTCCTCATTGCAGGCCACCAGGGACGCCCTCTCCATTGCTAAGGTCCCTCATTTGTTCCCGGTGTGAAATACCCAACAGGAAAATCTGTCGCCCAGAGGGATCCTCCAACTGAGCCGCCAAATGGGGGCCAGAAGACGTTGGGCCCAAGCCATGGAATGAGTTTCCTGCGGAGGTCTGAGAGGAGGTGGGAGCACAAAGCCGGGGGTCTCGGCGCTGTACACCCGGGGCCTCCCCAGTCACCCAAAATGGGCGCTGCCTGGGTGCCCGGCGGCCCAGACACATCCCACGCCTGGGGCCGCGCGGAGGGCTCCCTCAGCGCCCGCCACCCTGCAGTCGTCTCTCCGGCTCAGAGGAGGACGTAGAAGGCAGGCCCGATCTCACTGAACAGAATCTGGGCTCCTTGGCGCTGTGACCTTCGCCGCCACCATCACCCTGGCCGCCCGGTTCGGCCTCCCAGCGTGCTTTCCTAGAAACTCACGCATCCCTTCCATCTTCTGCCCCCACCCCCACGTTATTTGTGAAAAATTAAATGCCCCAAATAGGGCTCGGGGCTGCCTGTTCCGGCCCCGGTACTCGCGCGGCATGCAGCACTCACCGAGATTGGGGTGTCGCGCGGCGGGGTTGGCTCGGCCGGGCAGGCTGTGCAGGACCGGGCTGTCGAAGGGTCCGGCGGAGGCGGCGGCGGCCGCGGCCCAGGACGCGCCCACGTCGGCCATGTAGGCGGGGTAGGGGCTGGAGTAGGAGCCCGCGAAGCCGGCTCGCCCGTACTGCTCGCGGCCCGCCAGGCCCGCGCCGGCAGCCCCGCCGCCACTGCTGTAGGCCGCGGCTTCCCGGGCCGCGGCGGCGGCGGCAGCGGCAGCCAGGGACCCGGTGGTGCCCGGGAAGGAGAAGCGCGGCGACACGGGCGGCGGGGTGTAGGCGGCGCCCTCGGCTCCCGCCTGGCTCCAGCCTGGGCTGCCCTGCTGCGTCCCGGGCCCCGCGCCCGACGGCGCGGCTCCCGAGCTGCCGCCCGAGGCGGCCCCGGAGGCTGCGCCCCCGCCTCCGCCCTGGAGGTAGGACAGGCCGAGCACCGAGGAGGGCACCCGCGGCGTGGGCACGTATACCGGCGAGGACGCGGCGCCCGCCCCGTGCATGAAGGCGCCCGGGCCGCCCGCCTCGTAGGGCCCGGGAGGGGGGCCGTGGTTGGCGGCCATGGCCAGGCTCTGGTACATCTCCCCCCGCGCGCTCGCAGCGTCCGAGTCCTCGGGCCGAGGAGCAATGCGGAGAGAGAAAACAGTAACACACAAATAAAAAACAAACAAACAAACAAAAAAAGAATAACGTACAGGGGAGGGGCTGTCAAAAAACCCGAAGATCAAAAATCAAAGGTAAAAAAAAAAAAAAACAAATCCTTCAAAAATATATACATATTAAATCCAGCGTTGAGCAAAAAGACTCTGAGGTTCTGGTTTACTCAGGAAAAGCCCAGACTGAATTTGTGGTTGTTCCCCGATGTGGTGGAGTTGAGGGGTGGGGGGAGAGTCCACTCAGAAAAGGTCCCAGAGGATCCGAAGGCGCGGGATGGCGCCCAGGCGCGGAGCTCCTGCAGGGTGACGCGGGCCGGCCACTCGTCAGAACACCCCGGCCGGGGCACAGGGTGCGGTAGGCTGGCTCCAAGGCTGAGGGCCGGGCCGGCTCCCTTCCTCCGAGATGTAGCCGCGTCTAAGGAAGGAACGACAGAGGGAAGCAAGTTCATCCAGTGCTTTCAGGGCCCATTTCCCCTAAGCTTGGATGCTTCTCTCGCCCGACAAGCAAAATCGCCACTCTCAGGGGCCCAGCTCCTCGGAAAGCTGACTGCAGAAGCCCGTGGGGCCTGACTGCTGCAAGGCAGCCTCAGGGAGGGGCGCCTTAGAGGCGCAGGGCTCTCCGGTTATTGGACGTGTAAATTACTGGTTGTGATCTCGATCAGGGTTTTTCTTTTTTGTATTGCTTGTCAGGAAGGACTTTAATTTTACCTTATTTCTAGCATATTCTTGTCACAGTATTTTAAAAGACCAAGGGTTTCCGGCTTCCACGAAGAGCCTAGAAATCTAAGAAATCTCTCCCCAATTCCTTTCTCCCCCCACCTACCCCCAACTGATCCTGACTGTGAAAGAACTTTAGATTGCGCAGGGAAGACACAAACTTTATAAAATAAAAAAACCCAGCAACCTAAGAAACTTTTGTTTGCAATCTTTTTTGTTTGTTTGGTTTTTTTTTTTTTTTTTTTTGCTTTTAAACTAGAGGCAGATTCTAAATATTTATAAATGAACACAGCGTCTGGTAAATCTCAGTGAAAAGGTTTGCGAACTCTTATCTATACAACTATACAATGTGGACATCAAATTAGACAAGATACACGTTTCTTACAAATAGTTTTATTTTGGAGATTTTGCAGACTGTATATTAAGATGAGAAAAGTGAGAGAAATGTACAATCACTTTACAGAACTACAGAACTCACTGGATCTCCAATTCATTGAGTGGGTTTTTCATATGGAATCACAGGTCCACTCACGTATGGAATCAGAACACCAATGAGGCTGCTTGGGGGACAGAAACAGTTTGTAGGACTTGATTATTTCCTTGCATCCTGTGTTTGATTTCACCAGGCAATTTTTCTGATAAAAACTAAGCGTGCTACGTTCTGAAGCACCTGCTTGGTTCCAGGTCATTTTCTTCACAATTCCACTAAGTAGAAGTTTCTCTCCTCATTTTACAAAAGGCAGAACTGAAGCATCCAAAAGTTTTAAAACTCCTCTAAGATCAAAGTACAATTAAAAGGGGGTAGGGGACAAGATCTGAAGGACTCCAGAGTTTAAGTTTGTCCAGTCCATGCCCACTTTTCTCCTTAAGAAAACGCAGCTACTCTTAACAATGTTTTTTTTTTAATTGCAATAGCAAACTTATAGAGTTATTAACTGAATTATGTACTAAATCCAGGCTCTGCCACTTACTAAATGAATGACTGTAGACACATTACTTAACCCTCATGCTTCAGTTTCTTCATTTGCAAAAATTCAAATAGTAAAGGTAATTACCTTGTAGGGGCACTGTGAGGATTATAAATTCTATATACTGGGCTATTATTACTATTACAGATCTCTAATGTATCAAAAGAAAGTGCTTCCAATGTATTATGTACTATAATAAATGGTCATCTTTATTCTAGTAAAAAGTTTTGGGAATGGAATTTCTAATATGCTTTTCATCACTTTTACATCACTATTAATGGGATAGCACTGTATTATATAGTCATATGTTAACTCTTAAATGGTTTATTATTTGCTTTCAAAACTCCGATAAATTATTGGTTTGGTGAACATTTCCTTCCAATAAGAAGTTTAGTTAGAGGATGGATATTAAAAAATTTGACCTGAGATCATCAACTTTCCCCTTCGAAAATGAATTAAAAAAATTAGTACCTAAAGGAATACCTAGGCTTCAATAAGTAAATTACACAGGTTTACCTTAATAAAATTTTCAGTATTTAATTTTAAAATCCAATAGTTGACCTATTTCATTGAATTTTCTGGAATACTCCCTCAGTTCTAAAACAAACATTATACATTTCGTTTCTCACATAGCTGCAGGAAAGGAAGATTTATAATTTTGTAATCCAACTTCCAATATACATACAGATGCTAACTTAACAAGCTTTAAAATGTAAACGCTGAAAATGCCATAAATCCAACATTTGTCTTTACTGCATTCTCTGCCTTTTTAAAATGGCTGATACATTACCTAAGAGTTGGATTACTGAACAATAGAAGGTGGAGAAAATCCACCCTAGACCTTTCTGTTAAGACAAGAACTTAACTACTCCCTTTAAAAGAAAGTTGCTTGTTTCTGTACTTGAGACTCCGATGCAGGCCACCCGGAGAGGATACAGACAGAACTCCTGAGAATGGCAGAAAGGGTCTGGCCTCTGGAGATTGAGGCTTGTGCCCAGTTTTCCCTCTCCTCCAGATCACTCATCCCAGTTCACCCCCGATTCACAGGCCGGACAGGAATGCTTTTTTTCCTTACTGAGTTAGCGCACAGCCCTTTTCTGATAAATTTCTGCCAGCGGGGAGGATGGAGAGTGCCCTAACGTTCCCGTCCATTTACAGTCACTCCTGCTCCTTCGGTTCCGCTGGCGCCTTCACCCCGCGGCCTGCTGCCTAGAAAACTGTCACACCCGAGCGTACACACTAGCTGGCAATAACGAACCTGATCGCTGAGGGGGCACGCGGAGATCCAGGAGCGGGGGTGGGTGGGTGGGAATCACCCCGTCACTCCAATAAAAACTTTCTCTCTTTCAAAGCCTCTAACCTGCTCTAGGCTGCAGTTCCTTTTATGAGAAACACAGGAAATACTTCCCCGAGGCGCTTCCCCAACCTTCCCGGCCGCGCTGGCCCGGACTCCCACCAGCCCTGGGTCCCTCCCCACCCTCTGCGACCAACCCCAAGGCCCCTCATTCTCTCAGCCTGGGGGCAGCTCACCACCTGAGCATCCTCTGCTCCCCTAGGTGACCCCCCAGCCCAAAGTAAAGCGACAGAATTTCGTGGACGGGGTGGCTAGCCCTGGCCAGTTGAGGGACATCACTGCTCTCTGATGTGGGTGGGTGGGGTTGCTAGCTTCGTGAGGGGCGTTTAGTTCCCTGGACCCCGGATAGGAAGACTAGGAGGCATAAAAAGAGCGGGCGCTCAGCAGCCATTCCCGACCTCTGAGCGCCTCCCCGGGGCCCCGAGGCCCAGCTGCGCCGCCTCCCACCGCCACTCTGTCGCCCATGGGCGACAGTCCTCCGTCTGAGTCTTTTCGTGTTCGAGCCGCCGGGCGGCCGGTCCCGGATCAGTTGGTCAGGGTGATTTCTCACGGCCATCATCGCCACCAAGGCCCAGTCCTGCGAGGTGCAGACGGGGCTGGGAAATCCGCACGAGGGGCGGGGATTAAAAACGTCCAAGTTCACACAGAAAGAATCCAGAAGCCCTTAGATGATCCCTCTCCACTTTTCCCCTAAATATCACTTAGTTTTAAAGAAACTGCTAAGCCAAAGGAGAGACGGCTCTGGGCAAGGTTAAGGACCGGGGATGAACGACGTCTCCTTTCCACCCGCTAGTTACCTCTCTCTACTCCCAGGCAAGCCCGCGCGGAGGAGATCGGGGTTCCGCGACTAGGGAGAAAGAGCCGGGAGAGGGATGGGAAAAGCCGTACCTGCCCGGGCTCGAGCTTCCTGGAGGCCAGCGCGCGCTCCCCCGGGCGCCGCGGCAGCTTAGGCGGCGGCAGAGCTCCCGCTGCCTCCCTGCCGGCCGCCGCGGAGTCCCCCGGCTCGCGGCGCGGAGCCCCTGGCCCCTGCGCTCCCGCTCGCCGGCGTTGACTGGCCCGCGGGAGTCACGTGCAAGGGAAGGGGGCGGGGGGTGCGCCGAGGCGGCTGCACCGCCACCGGGCGCCGGGCTGCGGGGCTGTTCAAAAAACTCCCCCAGCAGGCAAAGTCCAGGCGCTGGGATCTCCTCGGAAAACGCCAAAGTGCTTCCGCCGGGGCGCCGGGCTTCACCCCACCGCCCTGCCTGAGGTCGATTTGGTTTTGCGGTTTTGCCCTGGGTCAGCTTTATTAATGAGACCTCCCCTGCCTTCCACCTCGTCTCTCCTCCCCACGCCTCCTGGTGGTCGGGTTCCAGCCGAATCTAGGGACGCGGTGGGCGAGGGGCGGGGCTGATAAGGGGAAGGTGACCTCTTGGGAGCGACCCCGGCTCGGGTGTGGGGCACTAGGTCACCGGGGAGTGCCCCAGCTGGCTGCAAGGCTCTTGGTGATAGTGGGTAGTGGGGATCCTCGTAGTCCAAGATCCCGGGTAGGTGGAAGAGACACCAGACTTGGATGGTCCTCCTCAATCGGAGCGCTGAGACCTAACCCGCCCTCCCTTTCACCTTCGCAGTAGCCCAGGGAGTCCGTGAGGCTCCTGCCTACAGTTTTGTGTTTATGCAAAAAGTCCACGCTTTCATGGCGAAGCTCCCAGCCCCTGCGGCCTCCTGCCTTCAGATCTTTCCGTTTTCTCTGCAGCCTGCGGCGGCGCCGCACTAATCTAAGAGACTTAGCAGGGGCTCAGGGAGCTCGGCCATCCTTCGGGGCTTCGACAAGAGGACTCTTCCAGGGGCTCAGCACCCCGCCCCGAGCCGGGACGAGAAGGGTGGCAGGCCTGAGTTTGAGTCGGCGTCAGCGCCTAGAGGCCCCAGCGCAGCGGGGCTGTGAACCGGAGAGTCCCTCAGACAGGTCTAAAGGTTAATAGAGCAATCACAGGGCCCTATTACCGCGTAAAAATAACCCATCGATTACCGCAGCCTTCAGCTCCAGATAACAGCCGGCCGGTGGCTCTCAAGCTTTCGGTTAAACACCCCTCACCCGCCAAAGGTCGCGTTTCTATCCCTAGCGCAGGTTTCTCATGCCAGATTGGAGGGGTCGGGAGGGGGGCAGGATACCTCCCACAAGAAACCTGTGCGCCTCCGAAGTGAGGGTACAAGGCGAGACCCGCTTCCGCAGTCGGTAATCGGTCTAGGATTCCCGGCCTGCGCAAGGGCGATCCGGGCGCCGAGAACCAGGCTAGGATTCGGGGCTGGCTGGAAGGAAACCCCCAAAGGGCTCGTGGCCAACTCGTGGGGATTC